TGCCGCGGGAAACTTTGGCTAGATTGTTTGTGCTTGCACCCATTGCTGTCTTGCGGTCGCGCTGCATTCGCAGCAATATGCACGCATACAGATCATATCACACGACCACAGCATGCCACACATGTCCTGAGGGCATTGCGCCATTGCTAACTACGGCAGCAGCTAATTACAGTGCACGCTGCCGCGGGAAACTTTGGCCAAATTGATTGAACTGAAGCTTGCACCCATTGCTGTCTTGCAGTCGCGCTGCATTCGCAGCATAGTATGCATGCATACAGACCGTATCGCACCATCATATGCGCTGTGTTGGCTGCACATGTCTTGAGAGCATTGCGCCATTGCTAACTACGGCAGGAGCTAAAGGCAGTGCACGCTGCCGCGGAAAACTTTGGCCAAATTGATTGTGCTTGTACCCATTGCTGGCTTGCGGTCGTGCCGCATGCCCAGTACAGTATGCATGCATAAAAACTGATTTCACCATGCACTGCAAACTACGGCAGGAGCTAAATTTAAATGCAGTGCACACAGCTGTGAAAATTTGTCCAAATTGTTTGTGTTTGCACTGCTTGCACCCATGGCTGGCTTGCAGTCGCGCCGCATGCCCAGCACAGTGTGTATGCATATAGATCATATCAGCCATATCACACCACCGTATGCACTGTGCTTGCAAAGTCCTGAGTGCCATTGCTAACTACGGCAGCAGCTAATTGCAGTGCACGCTGCCGCGGGAAACTTTGGCCAAATTGATTGAAGCTTACACCTATTGCTGGCTTGCAATCGCGCTGCATTCGCAGCATAGTATGCATGCATACAGACCGTATCGCACCACCGTAGAGGCTGTGCTGCCCGCTGCCATTGTCAGGACGTCAGAACCATGGTGAACGACTGCTACCTTGCAGTCGAGAAGCATGTGTGTACTAACGTGGCATCAAGAGTCCATCTCGTAGAAGTCTTGCCACGCGACATGGCGGGCGCACAAGACAGAGAATGATCGAGACACGCACGCCCCATCCTGCCCACAAGAAAAGAAAGAGAGACAGAGCGAGAGACATGGAAAGAGTTGGAATTTGAGGTCGAGTTGGTGCCCGGGACCAACCAGACTTTTTCAGTACAGCGGTCGGAGAAATACATTCCCACCGATGAAAGGTCCTCATGAGCCCCGATAGTCCTTTGATTTGACATCGCTGCTGCTTCGAACGGGGGGATTGAAGGCAATTCGTGATTCCTGCATGTTTCCCGGGGAGAAGCTGTCGCTAAACATGGCTCATAAGTATTCTGTCTTACAGTTGAAATCCACCGACTGTTGTGACCTCCCCGCAAAAGCCCGAAACAACCAGGGGCCCTCAGTGCCCGGAGACCCTTGCCGCTCTTTATGCCTTGGACACAAGATACAGAAGAGGGGAAGCTGTTGCGAACTGGCGGGCAGGCTCAAGCAGTAGAGATGGAACCGGGATGCTTTTGTAAAGCCGTTGAGTCACTCCAGGGATGTCACCATCAGGCAAGTTCATGATTGTTGAGCAGTTGCGGAGAACTGCCGGGGTGGGGGGGGGCTTCCCGCTCTATCAAGGGGTATGGAGTGGACTTGGATACTGCATTCCAACTGTAATTCTGCGCCCTAGGGGCTGGCGTCTTAATTTGCTACCAGTAGCAAGAAGGAGCAAGAAAGATACCAGTTCAATCCTTCTTGCGAAAGAGAAGGTGGCTGACCAAGACAAATTCAGGATTTTCATGCAGAATGAATGAAAGCTCCAGTGGGCATATCTTTCTTCGTGACGTAGATTTCCTAGACTCCACGTCGGCCGCAAGCGCCGTACGAGCCGCCCCAGACAGGAAGGGAGAGGAACATGCTCAATGTGCTCCCTTAAAAGCTTTCTGATAGGTGGTTTCCATGTTTCTTCGTGGCCGTCATGGAGATGTGGCTGCGGCAGCACAGATCTTGGCGCAGGCCCTGTTGTGGCGCGAGCAGTACCAGGAGCGTGCTTTTCGTGCTTCAGTGTGGCAATGAGCTCCAAGCACTCCCCTCTGAAGATGTCATAAGCACTTTTCGGGCTCTGGCCAGGACATTCTTACCGGAAGGCGTGTGCCGAAGTGGCAAGGCGATCTTCGTATTCTGGCCCAGGGCCAGGGTGGGCATCCGCTGCTCTACTTGCGCCTTGCACGCACAAAGGCGGGTGGGACAGGCCCGTCGATTGCTGCAGGAAGGACACTTGCCAGCAGCGTTGCTCATGCATAGAAGCAAGTAGCCTTGGCAAGGATGCTCTGCTGCAGTCAACTTGATGCCAGCTCTCCTTCAGGTGCTGCAGACATCAGACATGCAGCTTTAGCGTCTCCGACACCTTGGACCATGTCGCTTGTGTTCTGGAGACTGCCGTGCAGAAAATGCCTGCCGGGGTGCAGCAGGCCACTCGCACTTCCAGTTTGTTCGACCGAGTATCCTCAAGATCAATGCTGCTCCAGAGAAACCTTCTGAATGAGAGTCTAGAAAGTGCCTTTACGGTATTGCTGCTTGATTCCTGTGAGTTCAACACCATCTATGTAATATGGGCGGGATTCCTTCCGCAGTATGGACACTGGAATCTGAGACGCCGCTGCACAGGTGGATGCAGTGATCGACTGTCATGGCTTCTGCCTTTGGTACAATATGGACCCTAGAATCGTGACGCCTTGGAAGCATTTGGGTGTTCAGTCGCTGCCGTCAGAGTTCATGAGTAGCTAGGGGCTGAGCAGAGGCAGCAAGTTGAAGCTGACGTATGTGCCGTGTCGTGTTGCATCCAATACCTCAACCATCCAGCACCGCGAAGACCCACTGAATGAGAACCTTCAGAGCTTCAGCACACAGTTCGAGGAAGGCCTCGTGTTGTTCAGCTGTCCAAGGCACTCTGCGCCTGCACTCACTCTAGGCCTTTTCACTAGGCTCCTGCAAAGCCGGGTGGTGCTGCCTCATCCCCGCCCAGAGTCACACCCAACTCCAACGTCCACAGTCTTGGCCGGACGTCAGCCCGGAGTTCTTACTTGGACTAAATCAATGGCCACTGACTGGCCTTGAGCACCGATGTTGCAAAGTCAGCGTTCTCGGCTGAAGGATTGGGATTGCCGAGCTTCTCCGGCAGCCCTATCGGGATCGCTTGCGACTAGTGGGTGCCTCAGGTATGTTCGCGAAAGCAGAGCTGCTGCTTTCACGTCCCTTCACATTGACACAATGCACAGGGTTGTTGAATAAAGCTTCACGAGTGGTTTCTAATCACTTGTTGTTGCAATCTTCGCGAAGGAGCTTTTTGTCAAAGGCGATGCCTTGTATAGGATACTGATGTGCAAGGGTTTCAATCCACTTGTCTGCTCGCTCACACGTACACCCGGAGCATTCCCAGACAGAGATGTGCGTGCTTTGCAGGACGTCCTTTGGCATTAAGCCTTCGCAAGCGAGCTACGAGTTAGTTCCTGGGATCCTCTGGCGGGTGTGAAATTATGAACAGCGAGCCGAGCAGACTTGCGCTTTCTTGCCGGGTTTTCGTCCGGTTCGTGGTTGCCTGGTCAGTTGTTTCCAACGTCTCATCGACGCTTTTGGCGCTCCAACCATTATTGTATGTCTCTAAAACCTGGCTTGGCTAGTGTGGTTTGAAGTGCCCCGTGGTACTTGTAGCATCACAGTATGCAAATGCTGCGAGACGGCCGAGGTGATGATGGTGGACGCACCGTTGGGCCTGCAGCCCGTTTGGAACGTCATATATCCTCTGCTGCCAGCAGCGACGAAGAAGAAGGTTCGCTTCCTATCTGCGAAAAAAGCAGTTGATGCCGTCGAGGAGCCGGCCTGTTGTAATGTCAAAACTTGTTTTGACTCAAGTCGGCTTTTAATTCAAGATCACTGCTTCAAGAGTACTGCTTGAACAGCCATCCGGAATCCGGAGCAAGTGGGGCCGTAAGGCAATCTCACAAATGACCCCTACACGGGTATTCTGCAATATTCTGTGTTATGTGATGCCTGCTGTGCTCCTGTCGAAGGAGCTGCAAGGAAACAACTCTGCGGAGATCCTGCGGCATGTCATGGACGTGAACCGTGACCCGCTTGGGCCGGGCGCTGTCCCAAAGATGCTGCCCTGCAGCTTGGCTGTGCTTGGGTTCCAGAGAGTGAAATATCCTGGTGGTTCTTGCGATTCATTGCATCGATTTCCCTCAGAAGGTAGAGAGCAGGAGCAGGCACTTCTTCTGCTTGCCTTGGACTCTGCGCCCCTTTCGAACCCAGTTTGTGCTTGACACCCGGATCGTTTCCATCATCTTTCTTTGCAAGCCTTTTGGTATGGAGAGGTGATGCGGGGCAGCGGACAGCGGTGAACAAGCCTGGCCCATTCCAGTCTTATCAAGAAACAGTTCGCAGCTTGCCTGGTAAGTCAGATGGGTTTGTTGAAGATTCTGACAATTGGTGTTGGTATTGGTGTGGCTTCCGATAATTAATTCGGGTGGTGGCGTGCACAGAGCGCTCAGCTGCAGCCTCTGTCAATGTGACACTAAAGATGCTCACTGCAGTCGAAGCCTAGACGTGAGTTATTGCCGTGCTGCCGAAGAACGTACAGTATGTACAGTCATAGAACCCTGGCGGCCCTAGCGGCTGTGGCACAATCACTCTGCTTGCCACCTTTGCTGATGCTGAGCACGCGTACTGGTCAGGTGCATTGCCACCGCCTACTCGTGGCTTCTTCTGCCCTTGTCGCTCGCGCAGATCTTGCTGATGTTAGCACTCGTCACAATCAGGGTCCTTCAAAAGTGACCCCAAAATTGACAGTCCGACTACAGTACGCGGCTTTACGTGCCATTGCGCCGGTGAACTGCTTTCATACTGCCATGTACGTATTAGCGGTTGATTCGCACTTTCGCTGCTTCACCAATGATATCAGCAGGCAGACTCCCCGCCCTACCTCACGGAAGCACTGGGAGATCAAGACATCACCTCCGCCCAGATGCAAAGACTAGCTGCGCATCGCGCGAGCTGCTGCTCACCGGTGGAACTCACAGATAGACCGTAGGGTGATGCCTGTTGGTGACCTTGCCATATTTGTACAGGCAGGTAGATCTTAGAGGTTTTGCTACACGTCCCACGGAGGAAAGCTGCATGATGTTGCACTGGATCTGCTAACTCTTTTGAATGTAGCATCAGGCGATGGGCATTTTTCAACACTGCTCTCAGACGCAAAGACCGTGTTGTAAAGGGTCTTGCACCCTGCTGCTTCATAAGTAGAAGTCTGCAAGTTCCCGGTGCGCTCGTTGAGGAAGCGAAAGTAGCATGATCTATTCCTGATGAGCCATGTCCGACCTGTCCTCATCGAGCCATCACTGCGCTTGTCCTGGCCCCGAGGGTTTCACCGGCCCAAGTCGCCAGGCTGTGCCAAGTGTTTTCAGCCATGAACAGACCAGTGGCGATTTCTGACGGAGTCTCGGTAGGCTCGTGCCCTCCTCGGAGTTGAAAAGTCAGTATGCTCGAGGCAGATGCACGAGAGTAACATGCCAGCATTCTCGGAAAGCTGCCTCTCTGCCAGAACCTTCGGCTCTGCTTGACATCGCTCTTGGCCTTAGGTAACTAAGTTAAGTAGCATCAGCATCAACTTCCACGACAGACCAGGAGCAAGATGTCATGTCTGCATGCCCAAACGCTACAACTCGAGGGGCTGCTGTGGCCGTAGCATAAGTTGGAGAGAGGTTTCTGGCCCCCTCATCGCCATGCCGACGAGGATTGGACAACCCATAAATTTGCGACTTCCGTTTCGGCTACTGTTGCTCCTTGGTCTCTTCATCGCGACCGTTCCTGGGCTGCGTACTTGTTACTTTGTCAACGTTCCTGTACCGTGCTCTTGCTGTAGGATGGTGTCGGGGCTGTGTACAGACAATTCCCTGCATTGGGCTCGACGAAGGCCGTCCTACAAGCGGGTTTCTCCATCATGCACTACAAGGCAGAAAGCCGATGCATCATTCGCGGATGTCTCTGTGGGCATTGCCTTGGAGGGGTCGGAACCCCCAAACTCCAGGTCTTCATGCAAGCCCTGGACAATCCCGTGTTCGAGCAGGAACTGAAGAAATGGGGCGTCCTGGCAGCATGTGGCCGTGCTGATCCTTCTCTTGAGGCCCTGGTCAGTTGCTTCTCCCAACCTCTCCGCTGTCTGAGGCCAGGACAAGGCGAGCGTGAAGTCAGTGCTCGAAGCCCGTGGAAAGGACCAATGCACAGTTCCCAGGGCTAAGGAGACACAGGCGAACCTTGCCCGAAGGCGCAGGCAAGCTACCCTACCGCACTTCATCCATTCGGGTCATCAGCGACCAGCAGGGTGACGGTCAAGCCTTGTCGGAGGAAAGCCCCAGATTCGGGGCAATTCGTTTCCCCGGTCAACCCTAATCAGCAGGACTTCGCATTGCTCCAGCGTGGCGGCCTCGCTGGCATCGCATTGGCGCTCTGGGCGCTGGATGGGATGGTAGGCAGGTCTTGGGATGTCGATGTCTGGCCCACGTTACATGACATCAGAGTCAGAGCCCTGCAGGCTTGCTGCTGGTCCCAGTATGGATTTCATTGGTCGCAGGGGTCGTTGGATTCAGCATCGTGGGAAACTGGAAGGCTGCTGTTCTCTACGCAGCTTGGTTGCACCGGTCGGATGGGTCGGTGTGACAGCCCTGACCCAGCGACAGGTAGGTGTGCTGCTGGAGAAGTGCGACCTGGCAGAGTACGTCAAGCTGGAGCTTTCGGAGACTGGGCAGGCCCAGGATAGTGGGCTCCACAGTTAGAGAGTTAGAGTCGGAGCCCCCTGAACACACCGAGAGGTGCAAACCTGAGGTGCAAAATAATCAGCCGGCTGCTTGCCAACGGTCTTTATGGTTTTGGAAGCTGCAGGTCTTGACAAAGAGGGTTGCGCGGCTGCCGGCGAACCTGCCCTTCGAGATGAAGTCCGCTGACGAGCCGGCGTTGCAGCGGCTGGCTGCCGGCGTGGGCGCGCGCAGCACCAAGAGAAGATGACTTCAAATGTAACCCTGTCTCGTGAGTTCCGAAAATCCTGTGACCTGGAAAGGTGTTTCCTTGCGTGGTTTCTGGCACGAACCGTACGGGGCTACTTCAAGCCTGCGGAAGAAGAAGAAGAGCCGGAGGAGAAGAGCAAAAGTGATTGAAGGATGCAGCCCGCAGTAATCTTCCGTGCTTGGTCTCCAGCTGGAGCCGCGCAGTGCAAAGGGCTACAACAGCCAACAGCCACATGGTCTAATTCGTCGGGCCGGGAAGTCCACGTGCGATGCGTGGAGACCCCAGCCGAGCGCTGATCCTGTCCGCAGTCTGTGAAGGTGAAAGCTCTTTCCAGGGTTCGCCCGAAGTTCGCCCTTCACTCTTGAGTCCTCATTAATCATCATCATCCCGATGGCCAGGAAGCAGCAAAGCAGGAGTTGCTGGCCTGGCAGCAGCAGCGAAAGGCTGGGAGAGTTTCAGGTGCTTTTAGTGATACCGTAACAGCAGACATACTAATAGACGCATCGGACAGGCCAGCCACGTGGTGACGGGCCTTAAGCCCGGCAAGTGGTTCCACTCGCAGATGGAGGCCCGGATTTCCATTTGGGATGCACGGCAGACCAGAAATAGTCTGACATCTAGAGAAGATTTATCGGCCCAAGTTAAAGCTGACACAACCTTGCGAGTGCCAGCTGGATCCACATACATCCTCTAATCATGCCTTGTCCCACGTGGTCCTCGCACAAAACATCCACCTGCCTCTGGGAAAATACGAAACGCCCCCGCTTGCCTGATTTGCCTCACTTGCCCCATCTGCCCAGACTGAAGAAGGGCAAGTCGGGCAGGCCCAGTTTTTCGGGCGCCCATTCCCCACGTTTCCCTGCACCTCTACGGCCATGCCTACCCTTTGCTCTGAAACAATGAGAGCACAAAAGTCTGGCTCACAATTCGAGGGAGACCTGTGGTGACAGTACAGAAATCCGGTCGAGGGCAAGCAGCAAGCCCCCCGCCCTCCTCCGCTTTCTCCGGAGTGTCCGATGGCCATAAACCCTCATCAGCCCTCATCCTTCAAACAGCGGGGGGAGGGCGGAGGAATTCAAGAGAAAGGCACGTTTGCACGCCCTCTGCAACACAACAAAACAAAAGCTGTTGTGGCCGAAGTTAGTAGTAAGCAGTTAGGAACTACCTGCTTAGTAGGACTAATAGGAGAGTTCAGGGTTTTTGTGGTTGCGACTCTGTATCGGACTTTGTGAGTATGCAGCAGTAGCGCCAAAGGTCAGATGCCAAGCCCAGCAAACTCTCTCCAAGACCTGTCAGCCTCCACTAGTACCCCGCCCTTCTTACGCTCTGCCTTGCGCAGTTTGCTTAGTTCGCAGGCTTGGAAGAAGCTGAAGCAAGCCCTGAAGCAAGGGCACGACGCCTCAGAGCTGCATGCTGTTTCGAGTTGCAACCGGAGGATAGGATGCTTGGGGGGCGACTCGAGGCAGATTTCCTTCGCCAAAAAGGCCGACAACAACCCTGCATTGAGTGGTTTGGCCTCGGTCTCGGCTGCTTTTTTCTGGGCTCGAGGGAGAACGGACTTTCCGTAAATTTTCCCAGGCAGCAGAGATAAATCTCGACGATGTCAAGGCTGGAGCAGCTGCACCAGGCAGAGAAAGCCGTGAACGCACCAGCAGACACGGAGGACTTGCATGACGGAGACGGCAAGGGCACGCCCATCTACGCCAACTTCAAGTATGAGGAGTGTTCGGATGGAAAGACTTAAGCAAGTCATATCACGGAGTGAGATTCGTTTGGTCGCACTACTACTGAATTAACGGCAAGTGAAGCTGAGAAGGTACGGCAGGATAAGAGGGACCTTTCCTGAATCAGCGAAGGCCAATTATGTAGGTCATGTTGCAGTAGCTGCGATTGAGGCCCGGGGCTCGAGTGAAGCGACGGCCTTGTTCCTCGGGATAGACCTCAAGCATTTCCATCGCCTACGGAAGCAGAACAAGTCAACCACACCACACAACCTGTTCTGAATCTGACACGACTGTGAGTGTGACCCTTCAGGACAGCATGCTGTTAAAGCCCAGCCTTAGCATTTAGTGCGGCTAGAGATGGTCTGCGTGAATTCAAAGCTGCTTGTTGTGGCCGGGAGCCTCAGCTCTTGTCGAGACTTTTGGGAGGGGCCAGGGTATGTGTGTGGCTCTCTGCAGGTGCAGCTCATCTGCTCTGGAGCGTTGGAAGCTTAGATTGGACAGCTACAACTTGACTATTACTTGAGCTTCGCTGAGATCTCCTGGCCTAAAATGTGCAGCCAACCGACTGCTTGTGTCGCTCGTTTCCCTTTTAGGGATTTTCAGGGAAAGGGCGAGGAAACAGATGGAGTTCTCACAGTCTTACAGCACACGACTGCACACTGCTGCATGCTCCGGGATGAATCGATTCGATGGGAGGATGCCATAAGCCTTCGTTGACAGTCGCACAAAATCGCTCGGGTCTTCGCTCGTTTCTCAAACAGGTGTCGTTGTTAATTGAAGTTTGCTCACTCATTGTCCTCCCGCCGGTCTTAAGAGGCTTTTTGCAGCAAGGAGACTGCATTATGCATACTCCGTCTGGTGTGAGAGCTTGGGAGTTCTTGTCTCACGCCAAGCGAGGCAAGCGGCGGTTGCAGAGGACACGGAGACTCCCGAGCAGCATGCGCAGAGACGGCTCGTGGGGAGCCTGGCCGTGCAGGGCTGGACAGCTTCCGAAGAGCCGCCAACACTTCTCGTTCCTCTTCGCTGAGCCTGCGTGAAAGCTGTTGCAGCATTCTCTCTCTTGCACAAGTAAAAAGAAAAACCCTAAACCCTCTCTTGAAGACTCTCTTGCAACTACTGTATCTTCAGAGCTTGGCCTTTAGGAGTGGAACATCTGCACATCGCTTTGCGGCGCAGCTGGAACCGGCCGTGCCTCTCCGGCAACACGTGAGGGTGGACGTATTCCCAGCTCTTGAGACTTCCTTGACATGGTTTTCAAAGACTGGTGGGTTGCAATGCAAGAAGGCGACAGGGCCGGTTTAAGCGCACAACAGACAAACCATGACAAACCAATGTAACATAAGGACTGCATGAGCAAGTTGCAGTTTGCGAAAACTGGTGTGCTCGCGAGAAGCTCATGTGCGTGCGAGAGCGCTCGCAAGGCCTATCAGAGGCCTATCAAGAGGCCACTCATCGGCACAGTAATTTCGATCAGCCCTCCATGTGAGTGGGCAGCATGAGAAACGAGGCTCCGGAAGCTCCTCATTGGGCATGCAAGCTGTGGGCCCCGCACAGTCTCCACAGACCCTTCTGAAAAGTAGCAACGCTCAACTAGAAAACCGTGTGTCGTACATGGTCCATGGCCCTAACAGAGAAATCCCTAGGCCCTGCTGTAGCGTTTTTCGCCCTAAGAATCCTTGATCTGAATATTGGCAGCCAGATGCCTGACTGCCCTTCGCGAGGCATGGTCCTTTCAGACCTGTACTTGCTGCAGTGCTACCGCTATCCGCGCGGCCGCATGTCTGCATTTCAGATTGATCGGGCTGAGAATGCGGAAGTGTGACCGAAGTTAGCGGGCCGTTTATTGAGCTTGGTGGTGTGCTGCGATTGTTTCGTATCCCAGCGACTCAGATAATGGCATCATCCGCATCTTGAGCAGGCCCGGGGCGTTACAAAGACACCCTAAAACATGGTTCCGTGCTTGCTCTTGCTTGCATGATTGAATCAAGAAGAAGATTCCGTATGCCTCTTGATGGTGTTGACGGCTTTCGCAGCGGCTGCCGAACAAGTGCACGATTCCTTCCAGGGATGGCGTCCGAATTGTGGCAACTCAGCCATGCGCGTATGGCTCGGGCATGGGCGCGCGTCTTGACGGCAAGTTGCGGGAGAGCATGCTGGCAATTGTGTGCAAGTTGATGGCAGTCGGAGCAGACTTATGTGCTTGAGAAGTCCCGTAGCTGCTCAGGACCGACAAGCCTCTGCGCGTGTCTCGCCTGGGAAGCATCTATGCCACGGGCCTAGCCAACATCCAGAGTCCAGAGTCTTTCCAGAGTTCTTGAGAGTTTTTGTGCGACTATCCGTTTTCTGTCCCTTCATGAAGCGAAGAGTTCCATCGAAACCAAGCAGGATAAGCACTTCCAGCTCACCTTCACCGATCGGCGTGCGACCAGCCTACAGGCCCAGCGACCTACAGTATCGAAGTTTAGATCTTGTTTGAGGACGAGCAGGGTTTCTTCAACAGCTGCTTCGGTTTAGTAGAAGCCTTTATAAGGGGTACCCTACGCCTTTGTGGTCAGTTTAGAGTTGAAGGCGCATGTAGCTGTGTTTTTTCAGCCCAAGTCCTTTTTTGCCTCCTGACTTTGCTATACTTTGAGCATCGAGCTTCAGATTGACTCTGGTTTGTCAATGTCAAAGTCCCCATTGCCGAGCAGTGTGCATGCCCATGTTTGGCTTGTAGCCTGGAGTGCAGAAGCCTTGATTGGTCTGGAAGGAGTGGAGTTGAACAGGTTTGCACAGTGCAGCCACAGCTTTTGTTTTCCCGTGCTTCGCGGCAAGGTGAAGCTTACGGACGATATCCAGATTGTCGGCTAACTGTCGCACGGATTGAAGAGAGGGCACACCGTTGGCGTTGTTACGAGCCGTCTCTGTCCGGCTCGGAAATATTGTAATATACTATAGAGACAATCAAGTCGGCCGTGATCTGCAGCTGAGTCACATGTCTGCTCAGGTTTTTAAGCACATGTCGATGCATACTGTATCTTCCCGGAACACTGGGGGAACAGACTTTTTGTTCCTGCACCGCGCGGAAATGTAGGGCAGCTCACAGGTCGATAAGGCCGAGCTTAGTGGCTTACTAACTGTGGGATACTGTGGGTTCCTGTAGATTCGTCCCTCTCTTAGCGAAGGTCTGGGTGGCTTCGAGCCTTTAAGAGAATTCGAATTGAGTACAGAGGATACTCGGATCCGAGGCATGCCTGCCAATGTGATGGAGGAGGCAGTTTGCGGCTTCGGGCCCCACCTATGCTGGGGCTGCGCCATGAGCCGCTTCGGGCCCCACCTACGCTGGGGCTGCGCCATGAGCTGCCAGTACGACACTGCCCGACGATTGAACCAACTTCTTGGGACATATGATGCCTATAACTTCCTACAACATTTTGGTTCGCAAATTGTTCGGGGGTATTTGGGGCTTCTCCAGTGGGTGCAGGACCTTCCTGGCTAAGCCAAGCAGGGTCCACCACAGAAAATGCGGAGGCTGATCCAGTACTCGGCGCTCACCCACCATTCCGCCTGAAACAGGGGCCGAGTCGGTGGGCAGTGTACATAACATTCAGGTGCGGTTTTGGCACCACGGGTCTACTGTGGGACAACTCTGACAATTCAGTGCCTTTGGTGCGGTGGGCAGGAAGATGCTTGCAGTGTCGCGCGCCCTGAAAGCATGTTGTTTTGCCGTTCGCAGGCAGCATCCAGGTGCTTGAGATGATTGATTTGCAGACGTGCAGCGTTTCTCGCAGGACTGGATCGTGCTTTCCTGGCGCTACGAGTTGCACCTGTGCAGCGCTCGGAAGTCATTCTCCGGTGCCCCTGCGAGCTCTGCCAACATGCCTTCTCAGCGAGATGCAGGAAGTGCAGGTTACGGTTAGTAACTAGCTTGCGCTGACAGACTCAGTCTTTGCCACTCCTTCCTCATCGATGCTGCGGATCCGGAACGGCGTGGAATCCCTGAGGCTGCCAGACTCTGCAGCGATGTACGAAGTTCGTCCTGCTCGTACTACGAACGGGCTCATGACAGAAAGTTTCCTACTGTTCTACGGCTAGGGTTCATCACACCCTGGGTTGAAAACTCGGGATTTTGAGACCACCGCACCAACGGGAAGCCTCAACTGAATTGCTGGACAGGGACACGTGGATCACTACTGGAAGGTCTACTTCCACCACCACTTCGACCCTAGGCGGCTGTGTGCTGTCAGCTTCGGAATTAGAACAGAGCATTGGAAGGCATACGTGTAACACAACTATGCCAGGAAAGCTGATTCGGGCTGTGTAGGCACAGAAGCGCTCTGGTAAGGATCACTGGCAAGCCGGGTCTAAGCCGTCCCGGGTTTTTATCGGTTTCTTGAGCAGTCGGTTGGGAGATGGATCTTGAAGTCCTCCGAGCAGCCGCAGCTATTCGGCCCAACACTACCACCAGACTGCCACAGCGACAAGACTTTAGGACCAAATTTCGAGACATAATTGGGCCAAGTCTCAAGTGCTTCCATTTGTTTGGAGGGCCCATATAGTCCCAAAGCCAAACACCGAAATCGAACTTAAGCAGTCTCAATGCGAAGCCTTCAAAACCCATCCAAACCCTTTGACAAACCCTCAAGCCGTGAGCCCTGCATAGTAGCACTTGCAGAACGAACCCCTGCGAACCCTTATAGTTACACCAAAAGGGTACCCCTAACTGAGCCCTAAAGCCCTAAACTTTAAACCACGCTGCTTCGGTGCGGGCATTGCCCCTCGACCTCCTGAGGCTCTGGAAGTGTCTGGGACGGGTCCAAAAGGCTTTAAGGCTTTATAGTTTCTGTTACACTTGTAAATTCAAGGCCTGCTAAGTTAAGGGCCTTATAGTTTCTTGCAAATCGGGTTTACATTCTAACGTGTTTCTTTAACAAGGGTTTGGTAGCTTTTAACATGCTCTTTATCTTTCGTTTGTGTAAATGGGGTTCGGGGCCTTGTCTTCGAAGAACGCGATTGAACAGGATTTCCGCATTGATTCGTGTGCTCGTGTAAGCTGTGCCGTCCTCCCTGGCGATTGGGCCTCTTGCGGGTCAGTGGCTGCACGAAAGCATATGGTCTGGAAACTGCAGCCGGGGCGAAATCAGGAGAACACCAACCTCCGTCCAGCGCGTTCTAACCGGTATGTGACGTATTTCGATGTTCCTTGTCGTCAAAGACTAGGTCTGGCTGGTTTGCAACGGCAACGGCGCGCCGCCCTTGCAGCTGGAAATCCTGGACGGCAGGCTCTTCATTTCTGTTGAGACTAGAGGTTTTTGTGACCACGACTTCAGCATCGTTGCCAAGCAGGCAGCAAGCACCTCCCGCAATTTGCGGATGGCTGCGACGTCCAGCGCAGCTCAGTTAACTCAGCTTCAAAGGATGCCCGTGCTTTCCGGGCCTTTTGGCCCTTGGGTGCGTTGAGGATGGCAGCGGGGTCTGGCTCTCCTGCACTCCTCCTGGGAAAGGTGCGGTGCAGCAAGCCTTTGCTTCGGAAACCCTTGCGCCGCAGCACGTATCCGGAAGCAGCAAGATCAGTCTTTACAGCAATTTCGCGAACGTTGACAGGGAGAGTGTAGAGAGCCCTGTAGCAGCAAGGCAGATCGCATTCTGCAGGCGACTTCACTGGAACATCGGCCGCCTCCCGAGAGCCCTCGGCAGCTGCGTCTCGGCGGGCCGCTGGCGAGAGGCACTCAGACTTCGAGTCAGAGCGATGAAGGACATGGGGAACTTGTTCAGAGTGCCGGTTTGATGTTGGAAGTGTGTCTCTATTTTGTGCGAAGTGTCTGAATGACACTACGATTCCTCGATAATCTGTTTGCAAGTTCAGTTGGCCGAAAGGCCCGAGGAGACGGGTTCGATCCCCAAACCAGGGGTTTGTTGATATCTTCTCGATGCTTGAATCCTCCCGAATGTTCAGTAAAATAGAAAATCTCAACAACATGGAAAGCCTAGAGTGTTTCTGCAACCTTGCCAGAAGCAGACTGACGAGCGACAACCCATTGTGTAGTTCTGCAGGCTCTTCAGGCACTGTACTGGGTTGGGGAGCACAAGCTCACCCCAGATGCAGCCACGTTCTCGGCATCTGCTCTTGAGTGCGGTATTTATCCCGAGAAGGGAACTTGTTCGTTTGCCTTTGAGATGCTGCAGCCGCAGCCATAATTCGGTCACTTCGAAGATCAGAATAGAAGCACGGGCAGGGGTAGCAATAAATAGCAACGCTGCTGCCATGTCCGCCGACGCCCTGACGGCCGCAGGGACATGCATGTTCGACGATGCAGTGATGGCTGCCAAGTTGCCTGCCGCAGTCGTTCAGCGCTTCAACGAGTGCTTGATCACAGGTGCTCCTACAACGGAGGCACTCGCTTTCCGACGTGCAGTGCAATATTAGGTAATGAACATGACCTTTCCGGCCCTTCCGAAGTTGCGTGGAGGGTCAGGGTTTTTTTTCACGAGAGCTGTGCAGTTGAGACATTCCTTCGCAGGAGGACCAGAAGGTTATCTCTGAAGCGATCTTCGAGTGGGCTCGGGAGCGAGGGGCGATTGACTTTGCCCACTGGTTCTTCCCTCTTCGCGGCAGCTTGGCATAAACCGCGGACTCCTACCAGTAGGACTCATCCCTCTTGTGAGATGATCGGGCACATCGCTGTGGAGAGCTGCATGCATGTTAGCTTGTGCGTAGAGGGCCATGAAGCGATCCAAGGCGGTGGCGGTGCCGTTGGCGGAATGTTAGGTGCCTTCAAGAAGGACACTCTGATGGACCTGGAGTTCGGCTCCCAGTTCACGACGAAGCCGATGAAGGCTTGCCTGCCTCACGAGCGTCTCTTCCAAGGAGAGACGGATGGCTCCTCCTTTCCCAATGGCGGCTTGCGTGTTACGCACTCTGCAGCTGCCTTCACCACTTGGGATAGATCATCCCCACCTTTTGTGACGGATTGCTGTCTGTATATTCCATGTGCTTTCATTACCCACTTCGGGAAGTGCATCGATGAGAAGACGCCACTGCTGCGGTCGATGGATGCTGTCAAGACCCACGGCCTTCGGTTGCTGCAGGCTATCGGCATTGGCAAGGATGCTCAGACAATGCACAGCTACCTGGGTTGGGAGCAGGAGTTCTTCGTCCTGTCGGCAGATCACTTCAAAGCGCGCCCTGACCTGGTGAACTGTGGCCGGACACTGTTTGGGAAGCTGCCCACTCGGCACCAACAAGGAGACCTAAATTACTTCCAGGCGATCCCCGGCAAGGTGCAGGAGCTTCTCGATGTTGCGCAGGCCGAGATGTTGAAGATCGGTTGCCCGATGGCCGTGAAGCACAACGAGGTTGCACCTGGACAACACGAGATGTCCCCCGTCTTCCGTACTGCGAACGTGTCTTGCGACAGCAATGTCTGCTTCATGGAGGTCATGAACCGAGAAGCCGCGAAGCTCGGCCTCCAGGTTCTTTTCCATGAAAAGCCCTTTGCCGGAATCAACGGCAGCGGCAAGCACGCCAACTGGTCCATCGGAACTGACACCGGCCTGAATTTCTTCTATCCGGGAAAGAACGAAGATGGGGCCAAGCTGTACGTGACTGCCATTGCCTGCTTGGCATATGGGTTGGCACAGTACAATGACACTTGGTTAGCATGTCTTACAATTTCAAGCAAGATAATGTTGATTCGATATATTGTGACTATGTATATACAGCTGCAGTGAGACACGACGCTAGCGACTAGTAGTACCACTCGGCGGTTGTACTATTGTTGATTGCGGATGCACTGCCTCTTGTATATGTTAATGCTCCACACACCTTGTTACCAGACTGAACCGAGGAGATGGTGCGGTGCACCGTGGCCAGCGCTGGCAATGACCACCGCTTGGGAGCGCAAGAAGCGCCCCCGGCCATCATCTCTTTGTACCCGGGCCAGGGCTTCGAATCCTTCGTGGATTCCGTGGTGAGCGGCGGCGATCTTCTGGGTCCGGTGCTCAAGATATCAGAAAAACAGCGAAATTCTCAGCAACAACTTCTGCCTGCCAGGGTGATTGATAGAGCGCGTTGTATGTTTGTGCGCGTGGCTTCCCACTGCATGCAAAATTTGTCTCGTACAGCAAGACAAGCTGAGCTGCTTTCGTTGCACGGGTTGGAAAACCTTGAACTGAACAGGATACAAGGCCGAGAAGAAGAAGCAGGAGACGGGCTGCAGCTCTGCCATGCACATCGAGGCCAACGTCGAAGACCGCAACCGCACAGCCCCGTTCCCGTTCTGCGGCAACCGCTTTGAGTTCCGTGCGGTGGGCTCTTCCCAGAACTGCTGCCTTCCGATCATGGTCTGCAACGCGGTCATGTCTGCTGGAATGTCACACATGGCTTCCCTCATCGAGGGCGGCATGAGCCATCGTGATGCCGTGGCTCAAGTGTTTAAGGAGAACAAGCATGTGATCTTCACCGGCAACGGTTATTCAGCAGAGTGGCCCGTGGAGGCAAGCAAGCGAGGCTTGCCGAACTTGAACACCACGCCCAAGGCCATTGCCACGTGGAGCTCCGAGAAGAACACCAAGCTTCTCGAGACGCTGAAGATCTACACCAAGGAGGAAACAGAGGCACGTCAGGAAGTGATGTACGAGAACTACATTTCCTGCATTTGCCGCGGTCTCAGGAGCACTTCTACTTGATGCTAAAGAGTAGGCACTGTCGGAGTTTTTTGCTGCCTTCTGCGGATGAGGCTGCGAGGTGGAAACCATGATCCAGATGGTCGAGACCGGCTTCTTGCCTGCATGCGCCAAGGAGCCCAGAGCTTTGTCAGGTTATGTGTGACATGTCGGCCGTAACATGACAGTACCGTTGGCCAAAGCGCAGGACCTGGCCAAGTACAACAGTGTGGACAAGCTGGATGGTAGCAGGAAAGCTGTCTTCGAGAACGTCGTGGACCAGGTTGAGAAGTTGCAGGCCTCCTGAGTTAATCGCGACTCGCACTTCGGCTGAGGCTTTAGTCGAAACAGAGAAGCACAAGCCCTGAAGTGCAGACATGCGAGCTCATGCGGAAGCCTCTCAGGGCCTCTGAAAGTCGAAATTTAGTCTGGACTCGGCAAATGCGCGAAACGCTGAGTAAGATTTCTACGAGGGATCAAAAAATGGCCGCGACCGCTTTCCGGAGGCAGTCTACAAGGCCAAGCCCCACACCTCGCTGGCGGAGGAGGCCACGTACCTCTGCGACACAGTGAAGCCGGGAGCCTCAGTTCGGAGGTTTGGAGGCAGGCTTTCAGGCCGCCCAATCTTCCAAAGCTCACCGAGGAGTGTTCAGCATCCCCGGTTCCCTCCCATCTCCTGCTTGCCGGAAGGCTCATCTTAGGAATCCTAGACTATCCTTCAAGTCCCTGCTGCTTTTCGAGATGCCGGGTCTGTGCAGCCTTTGAGGGCTTCCAATTTGAGAATGCGTTCGGGTTGAATCTGTCACAGATTTTCGATACCTTTAGAAGGTACTAGTAGCCTTGTATAAGTTGCAGACCGAGCAGTACTCCTGCGACATCAGATTTCGAGATTGGGTGCAAGCATTCGATGCAAGCAGGCAGTCGTGTGAATGTGCCGCACCGCAGGATGCAGATGTTGGCTCTGCGCGCCGCAGCAACTTGTCTGCCCTTGTCCACTGCACCCACTTGGCTTAGCAGCAGGTACACTCGAGTGTCGCAGATTCATTGAATGATGTCTTTCGTTGTTCCTTACGCTTTCTGCTACAAGCTCCGCTGGTAGAAGCTGTGAATGCTGGGTTTGGGTTTGGGCCCACGTTGGAACGAGCTTCCAGGTGGATAAGGCAGAAACCATGATTGAAACAAGCTTGTGCCTTGGCTGCAGCCGAGCCGATAATGCTGAAGATTTTCTGAGTTTTGCGACAACCATGCCTCTGGCGTTGGTGGTAACAGATAACATTTGCAAATCCTGTTCGCTCATAGCTGTGGGTCTTGCTTGTGTCGGCGTCGTTGAGGTATCCCTTTCCGACCTATGAGTCTCCGGCTCAGTTGCCAGGGCTCTTGCGCAGGCTGCTGTCGTATCCTTTGCTGCCTGAGGCAGATGATCTACTCCCACCATTTCTGAGCTGAAAGCTCCACCTGAATGACGTCTCTACTGCCCCAAGCACCGCCGAACTTGGACCAGATCCTCGAGACTGTCAGTGGAGCTGACCCTCGCGATGCCGATGTGCCGAGCAAGGCTGAGAGAGGATCTCCCGCGGAACTCTCGCAGTCTCATCTTGACCGTACAGTATGCAGTCCCTACATCAACCTTGATGCATCGCGGGAGATCCGTAGGCTGCGCCGTTGAGTGCTGTGCAGAAAGCCGTCCTTCAGGCCCAGCGCGGCCTGCAACGAACCGACAGGCTGCGCAGAGCCTTGGCAGTCCGCTTGTCAGAGGTGGAAAACCCTGAGAAGGGTGTTCCGGGCTACGTGGACGAGAAAATGGCACAAGATGATCTCGGATTGCGATGCATCGCACCGCCTGAAGTTTCAGCATGACTTGGTCACCTTCCAACTCTGAAATGTCAGGTCTGCTACAATGTCGTCATTTCGGCGGCGGGCCGGAATGTGCGTTGGCCTGCAGCCTTGGAGATCATGGCAAGCTTGGTTCGTTCTACAGCTGAGCCCACCGCCACTTGACGAAGAATTGAACCTGTGATTCGTTTGTACCATCACATTAACAGAGCCCGGGCCCTCTCCGCGGGGTGACTCTCTTTGATTTCCTGAAGACTCTTGCAGGGTCTAGCGTTTCGGGCCACGCACGGACTTCCTGGTGAGCCCTCGTGATCCCTCGAGTGCAGGCAGAGACCCCCAAAGTTAGGTAATGTGTCTGGAAGTCTAAGTCAGTCGGTACGGCCACAGGCAAGAAAGGCACAGGAAAAAGGGACAGGGCAAGCCTCCAAGCCCCCCTCGAGGCATTTCCATTAGCTCAGGTGAGCAGCTACAACGCCGTTTGCTCCGCATTGGCTGCAGCCATGCGCTGGGCGCAGGTCCTCCACACCCTTGCTGGCATGAGGCCAGTCTAGGGTGCGGCATTATGACGACCTGAGTTTGGCGATTCTGTCAAAGGCGGGGTTGTGACTGCGAGCAGACATAAAGCCTGAACAGTGAACAGAAGGATGACCCCCCCGTGGTCATTGGTGAGCACGACGTCTAATTCTATCGCAGTCCCACGGATGAAGAAGAAGAGCACGAACACAATTAAGCTATTGGCATCTACCTCGAGCAGCTGCATTCTCAACCTATATCAATGATATCAATATCTATACAGCACGGTCAGCAGACAAAAACGGCCATGAGGATGCCTTTGCAATAAGTCTGGATCCGGCGCAAGGCACCTGGGCGCGCGGGCGGAAGTCGCGGGTTACGGAGCCGCCGTGAAGGCAGCGAGGAAGGTTGCAGCATGCTTCAGCATTGTGGCTACTTCTGTGGTTTAGGTTTGTACGTGCGGGGCTTGAAATTTCACGGACTTGTGGCTTTCCTCACGGCTGTTGGTATCAGGACGAACTGAAGGGGTACAGTGCAGACAAGACACAGCACTTTGCCTTCTATTTTGTGCCCTCTTGTGTAAAGCTGCTCGTGTCTCAAAACTTGGTTTCAGGCCTATGCACGCAGCCACACCAAGTCAGCCCGCTCGGCTTCAATGCTTCCACCAAACGTCATTCAATGTCCCCGCAACACACCGTCCGGCCTGGCCGACAGGCTTGCTCCATGACGAGGAGGTGGCAATATGCCGTGCACCTTGTGCTGGCCATGCGTGGCTTGAGGGTGGTGGATCTGCAGGACGGGACCTCGTTCAAAGCGACTCGGGTGGAAAGATGTGTCGCGATGGCAGGCTCTCCGCGACGTACAAGCAGCTGTCGAGCTTGTGCACATGCCGGTCGCAGATCAGCCGGTCAGCAATGCGCAGCAGAGGCTAGGTGGTGGTGTGAGTCACACGAATGCCAAACATGCGACACACGATTGGCCAGCTGTCTAGTTACTTTTCCGCCATCAGAATGCATGCGTTCAACTTGGGTGATCTCGGCGCTTACCCGGTAGGCGGCGGATTGATAACTCCTTGGCATCCATGTCTTCCGCTCTGGCAAGTTTGCTGGAGGGCAGAGGCTGGGTTTTTCCGGTCGGACCTGAGCGCTGTTTCTCGCAAACCCTTCGGTGTTTTCCGAGTCCGCCCAGACGACAGCGAAGCCCCCGTCGACCTGGCGAGCCCCGAGCAGCGAGTGGTACTGGAAACGTTGGCTGGGCGTCGGGCGGTGCAACAGAAAAGCACGAAAGGTATGCTCTGCGTCTGCAAATTCCTCTTCAAGCTCTCAAGCACATGCTGCTCGTGGCCGCATGTACTGGGCCATCTTGGCCTTTGCCGGACAGGAAGCTGGGTGCCAAGAACCTGGCAGAGGCGCTGAAAGTTCTGAAGGACCGAGGCTCAGCATCGGACCATGCCATGGTTTCTGACCTCGTGCTCGTGCAGAGAACAGCACCCACCGTTTGACCGTGCACAAGCTTCGACCCCGAGCGTTGGACGCAATTTCAGTTCCACCCATGCGAGTCTATTTGCAAACTCATCTAGCGCGTGACGGGCAGGGCGCGGGGATCTAGCAAGGATGACGCTATCGACGACAAGAAGAATGCAGAGTATTCAGAAGCGGGATAGGTAGAGTTATTCGGGGGCAGTAGTCTCAGTAGTCAGTAATTTGTCGGTACTCACATCAAGAAAGGGTGTGTAGAAATCAGGCCTAAGGAACCCTTGTACACGACTCAAACATCGGAGAGCTGAGCGTGGGAGGAGCCTGCGCAGCTCATTGACGCGGAGTCTGGCCCGAGGCCGGGTTCTTGCCATACTCTTTCGGAATCTGACCCAAGATAATAATAAGTAGAAGAATAACGAGAGTAAGAGCAATAATAAGTTACGTACAATACTGGTGATAACAGGCGCAACCATGACACTAAGTAATGGCATGAATATTAACATTGAATACTGCGGCTTCTACTTTAGTAGCAGCAGTAGTAGTCGTCGTCGTCGTCGTAGTAGTAGTAGTAGTAGGACGACGACGACGACGACTACTACTACTACTACTACTACTGCTACTGCTACTGCTACTGCTACTGCTACTGCTACTACAATACATTCACAAGTACAACTACAGATACAACTACTACTTGAAGATGAAAGCTTGACTGCTGCTTGTCTCAGGTTATTGCAGTCAATGCTGGACAAGGACGCGCCTTTCGAGGCAGCAGGGTGTTCACACAGATTGTTGTGAAAGCCTCTTGCAAAGATCATGGTGATCACAACGCAGGTGTTCGTCTCCAATGTTGAAGCATACCGCCGGGATCGGACTCGGAGAATCGAGGAAGGGCATGCGTTCTCGCATGATGTCTTTGCCGGCCAGCCGCTGCCTGGAACGGTGCGAAATTCCGAACTCCACGTGAGGCTGGCGACGAATCTGCCAAGCTGAGCTTTCCGAAGCCCCAGGCGAAGCAGGCCACGGGTGAAACAGGTGACGCTGCAGATCCAAAGCAGTGGCACCGCAGGCTGCCGCACCAGCGAAGGTAAAGCAACCTGCACATCCCCCGCCAAAGCCGCCCGCCAAGGCTGGCATATCTTGGGAAGGGAAGGTAACCGGCATAACTGTAGCTGCTCTTGAACTGCTTGCAGGCAATACCCAAGCAGCCATCACAGCCGCCGAAGGCACGGAAACGGGTGCATCTATCTACTTATGTTGAGTTCCGCTGAGTCTCTGCTTTCTCGAATTGTTGACCACAGGCACCCGTGCCCAAGAAGCCAAGGGAGCCTTCTACACCACCGCCGAAAGCTTTGGTCAAGAGGATCGCGAAGGTGGCCGAGGGCTAACTTGCTGCAACATAAAAATTGAAATAGCAGTAGTAATAGCCATATTTAGAGTAGCAATAGTGGTAGTAATAATAGTAATCTTGCTACAGACTTGAAGAAGACCGGCCAGTTGATCAGTGGAATGATGGAATGGTGCCTCGTCCGAGATATTGGATGCCACGGATGTCCTAAAAGATTTGTTTTTCCGTAGGTGTGGGTATTGGTGAAGTAAGGGCCGGAAGGATCCAGCGGGTGTCTGCGGAGAGAGTACTAATCATACCGCTCTCCACATCCAACGGCCCCTTTCAAAGGGGACCCGTTGAAGGAATGCAGAACCGTTTAGGAACCTTGTAGGGAGCCCGGCGAAAGACCCCCGAGCCCCTGTCTCTCGCGCCTGGTCGAACGAGGCGCCGGCAAAGGGAGGCGCCGCCACCGTGACCGTGGCCAAGGCCAAGTTTCCAATGTGGGGCTTTGCTTTAGCTAAGCGGCGCTTGTTGGGGACATTTGTCTTAAGCTGGTCGTAGGGATCGTTCCTATGGAGCCCCCCCCCAATGACAGAAGGTTGTTTCTCCACGTCGAAGATTCCAAGTTTCCAGTGGCACGATGTCTCGAAGTCTCCAGTAACTGCTATCTTCGTAGGATTCGTATGCCTTCGAAAGAGAAAGGCTCCCATGTCCTAGTAATGTCTACTCTACAACTCCGCAGCGCAGATTGCACCCAAAAGACCCCCCCACGCAAGGCGCCGCAAAAGCGGCCCATGCCAGAGGCTACACTGCCTCTTGCGAAGAGGTGCGGTTGGCACAGCATAGCTTGCCCGGAAAGTCAGCGGGTAGCGCTTGGCAGAACGGCTGTGACAGCTGCAAGTGATGCAACGGCTGTCCTATCTGAATGTGCCCGTCCTTGCTACAACTTCTGATCAGACCGCGGCCGATCGGTGCAAGCGTGGCTCCGGCATGGATTGCTTCGCTGTGTGCTTTTGTGAATTGCTGCCACCTGCCCATGCGAGCCACTTCCCTGCTGGTTGGGCTGCACTGAGCGCAAGGCGCAGCCGCCGATCGTCAAGGCTCGCCTGCTCAGAGACTCAGGTCATGCTCAGAGTCTTAGTGCGTGCGCGAATTTTCGGAGACCTTGCTTCGGGGAAGTCTCAAATTGCACGGTCATGGCAGCCCGAGCAGATTGAGCAAGTGGCAACGGAGTCCCTCTCGATGAGCTGGCTGCATGTTGTGCATGCTCAAGGTCAGATAGTGGTGGAGTCACAGGGGTCTTGTACCCCAGCATAGTTTGACTGCACCAAGCCTGCTACTCCAGATGTCACACAACTCACACGCAGACGAAGCCACTCACCCCATCAGTTTAGCCTACCCCAAGCCTGGACCAGACGCCTGCACCACCTCACTCACCCTCATTGTTTGAAGTGGAATCGCGCGGGCGCAGTGTCGGCCTTGCGAGAGACCAGGCCAGGAGCAAGCTTGATTGACACATGAGAGCAACTGGACACGTGTGAACGGCATGTAACAGCACATCGTGCGACTGACGACCGCTTGAGCTGGTGCATACAGGTGCATATCATGCCCGACACAACTGGACCCATTTTGAGCAGGAGCCGGGAGTGATGCGAGAGATGGAACCTGGTACTGAGTCGGAAGGCCCCGAGGGCGTTGGTTCTGCGCTCTTGCAGATGCAGGTTTCGCATGCATGCTGCATGCTCTGAAAATCTTATTGTTTTGTCGTGCTGGTGCTAGTTGCAAATCTAGTTGACTATGATTCTGTAATCGAATGGTTAGGCATGAATAGCAACTTCAATCTTTCTATTCTTCGAGCAGCCGCCAACAGATCGCAATCATTCGCTCGTAGCTTGGCAGCTAAAGGAAGATGTTTTGCAGCAGTGGTCGTGCTGTCAAGCACATCCCCAACAGCAATCAAGTCCTTTCCTTTGGGGAAAAGGTATCACCGTGTTTTCTGATGTCTCGAATCCCTGAACTCTTGCTCTTGCCTCCGGTGCAACTCAGCGATTACTGCCTGATGCCTAAACCTAAAGCATCACAGGTCCAAGGTCCCAGACCTCCATACCTTGGACCCTCAATCCTCAAGCCGACGCTATGCTTGTACATGTAGAACGTTATACTGTTATGCGGTGTTTTTTTGTATCCCAACTATGCGCTATTGTCAACGACATGCAAGGGTCATAGCGAAATGCCGAGACGTCAGGCGAATGCCGGCAGATTTTCGACGTCTGGTCCTGGAACTTCGATGCTGAGTTTGGCCAGCTCTTGGCGGCCCTCTCATCGTCGGGGGCTGAAGCTTTCCCGGTCAGGATCTCCATTCTCTTCTGAGGCCCAGGGTAGTCTTCTCTTGGAGGCTAGTGTTGCTGGAGCCTGTTGGAGCTACGAGTCTGAGCCAGCTGCACAAGACCAGACATGAAATGATTCGCATGGTGACTGCCGAGGGCTAGTGATGGCGCGGTGTTGGCCCTGGATACTGTGCCTGGGCTGTCTAGTACTCTGATGAAAATCTATGCAAATTACGGTCAGCCCATGTCAGCCCCATGCTGTTCACTCAGTGTTTCGGGTACAGGGTTTGGTTGATCCGATCGTGAAAGCGTGTGAAGAGGTGCCTTAGGTTTCTAATCTCAGGGCTTCTGGATTCTTCTGGCCTTTCGCGAACGAAATGAGGAGTTCCCGGGCTTCCTGCGCGAAGAGAAGCAGACGGCGAAGCGCTCCGCAAGGCCAGGGCCTCTGAGCTCGACGGCTCCTGGGGTGCCCTGGGGTGGCCTGGGCTGGGAGATCCCTCTCTCCGAAGAGGTACGCAGCGCTGCGCCAGAACTGCGACAATCTTCGGCCCGCCCCTTGTGGGGAGACCGTTCATACTCGCTCAGTCCGTGCAGCCGAAGAGAGCTTGTCGGACTTTCAAGGGTTCCCTGGCTGCTAAGGCCAATTCAGCTGGGCATCTCTGTGTCCCATCGTGACGGATCCCTCTGTGGGACTGCTTTGGCAAAAAACAGAGCATGTCCATGGGTCCATCCACATTATGTCTCTCCGCGGCCGGTGTTGGAGGACCTGGTGCTTCAATCTTTCCTTCGACGTCGATGGCTGAGCCAAGTGCAGCAGATCTGGTCAAGTACATCGACCACTCAATTCAATTTCAGTGGTGTGCCAACAAGCAGGACTCGTGCTGATGGAGGAACGTGCCATACACCTCCTAAGGTCTACACGGACCTCTACACAGAGGCTCCTGCAACAAACAAAGTAGTCAATTCTGTGGGAGGAGGTGCTTGGCAGCTGTGAGGTGGGTGCACATTTCAGTTTGCAGGTTCTGACAGGTTCGGAGAGAGACTATGATAACGCCAGCACACGCACGTACCCACCCAGCTCCTTGCGACCTACCTACCACCTAGACCGAGACGACTACTGCTCATACGAATCATGTTAGTAGTGATCGTCAAACTAGCAAGAGGTCAAGACGAAATGCTAATCTCTTGTTGCTATCACTGTGATAGTAGCGGTGTATGTATGTGTATATATATATGTCTGTATACATGCAATAGATGTATGTGTATGTATGTTTTGGATGTATGGTGGAGGGCAGTCCGGGAGGCGTCCGTCGCCTTCCTGACTGCTGCGGGTTTGGACTTCCCGCGCCACGCCGCAGAGGGCATTGACCCTGCCGAGGGCCTGGACTGGAGGGTTTGTTTTAACGGGTGAAGGCTAGCTGGGTTCAATGCTATTGGGGCTTTGGGATCGGTGTTTGGGGAGGAGGGCTTGGGGAGTACTGCGTACTTTGGATTTAGGGCTCTCGTTGGGATTCGAGCCACAATTCTTGCCTATGACTTGCCATTGTCCAGCAGCACGCACTGGCTTTCATGGTCGTCCTGAGGCAAAAATCGGAAGGAAGCTCCGAGCCTCACCGCTGGTAGGCGGATGGTTTCGGAGCTTTTTTTTTCTGGCAGAGTTTGTGTTTAAGCAGAGAGCACTCTGCAGCAATCACCCAGTCCTTCTTGTTGTGGAGGTCAGCAGGGCTGCAAGCACCGCTGGGTCACTTTCCAGGGATGGTACGACTTCGGGTCGCGAGCTGAGAGGACATCAACACTGGTGTTGCATAACTCGAAGCTGCAGGCCGCCTCCTCTCCCCCTGACCCCACAGCAACTATCACATGCACGCCAACGACCTGTGGGGCCTTTGGGCAGCATGACACTGCAGCAATGCAGGTACATGCTCCGACTTTTGACCCATCGTCGACTGCCTCCGGACTATACTGCTTTCGAGGACACTCATGTTGGGGGCTTCACAGCTTCGGTCGGCATATACTGTACTTGTCTGCCATTTAGCTTAGGCTTAGGCTGTTCCCACTCAGCCGATGGGTACTCAAGTATTCTTCATACTTGTAGTCGGCGCCCGAAGTTGCATTTTGATGAGTACCAGCCTGTGGCACGGCAGGAGCTTCGTAGCAGCTTCTTCACTGACCGCTATGAGTTGGATCCGCAGATTTCGTGGGGACAGAAGCATGCTTGTGTAACTGTCAGTACTGTGCCGTTACATGTTGGGCTTGAGGGGAACATTCTTCGTTTCCCTGCTGGCTCGAGGCATCTCGAGGCGATGTCACAGTACGGCAAGTTTAAAGCTTCTAAATGCAACCGGCCCGCCAAGGCTTCGAGATGAGCTCCCGCGAGGGTCCCTCGACAGCCTTCTCCGCGACTTTGGCACGGGCCCTAGTGCCGACACAGAAGTTCGAAGTGCAACGAACCGTAGGCTCCTGAGGCCTAGGGCCTAGGGCCTCAGGGATCCAACGTTTAAAACGACGACAGCAGGGCCTGTATCCGGCATGGGCCCCTGCCCCATGTTTTTTGCACCCAATGGCAAAAGTCTCGTGGGCTAAAGCAGTTCCCCCCCTGTCGGTCTCTGTACTCGTAGCAGCAACTCCTGAGGAGTGGAGCGCTACGGAACGCCGCACACAGCGGGCAGTGACGCATTGGCGACGCTGGAGCTTTTCTTCGAGGCGGGGATTCGAAAAGGTGTCCCGTCGGTGACTGTTGGTACTTTGCATTCGTCCTCATCGTACTGTACACCGACAGCCGGTCAGAGCAAGGAGCAAGCAAGAACATCCAGAAGCACGCGAGGTCACACGAGAGGGTCCGAAGCGCTTCCTCTCCGCGGCCTCGGGCGGTTCTGAAGCGTCAACAGCAGCTTCGGCCTACATGCTGGAGACAGGCGCAGATTCTGGTTGATGTGTTGTTTTTGAGCCTGCTTGCAAGACTACATACGCAAATTGTATGTGTGGAGGTTTGGGCTGAATTAGGCTGTGCCGAGTGCGATTTGGCGCCCCCGGAAGCTACGAAAGCTCGATGGTCAGACAATGTCAGATCTCGTTGTGCCAACATGCTTCTGGAACCACAGCATCCAATCCTCGATAGACTGATCGTGGGTCATGCTCAGCACCACCCGTGGTAACATTTGGGCATGCAGTGCAGGCAGCGGGTACTTCCAGGACTCCTCAGGCAGAATGGCGTCGCATCTGCAGCGTAGCATACGGTATCATGTTGACACATAGCTCGGACTCATCCTGTATCTAGACAGGAGTGCAGAGGAGGGTACCCACGGTCGGTGATGCTCATATCATGTCGATGCAGACTATGACCATGTCATGTCTAATATCAGCACTGAGCCGCCGACACATGGCCAGGTTATAGCTATGGCCAGGGCGGCTGGAACGACGAGGCGAAGCTGGCGCCATCACCGCTAGAGCCAAAAGCGTTCATTTCGTATTAGTTGCCTGAGGTTGCGGAGTGTCTTGAAGACGCCGTTCTGTAAGGAGATGTAAGGAATTTGCTGGTCACAAGGGCTTTTCGGTCGGAGGGACTACCGAAGCATCGTTGACGCATAGAACTCATATAGAATTCTGCAGCACGTGTCTGAGCCATGAGTGTCTTTGCTGCATGGACATGTATGTGCGTGTCTCTGCATCCAGGTAGGACACATCGGCTCGGATGTGGCACCAAGCACTGGGTTCGAGCTGAATGAGATGGACCTGCAAGGCCGCAGAGAAGTTTGATCTGCTGGCACATCTAAGAAGAGCCCCCGCAAGACTTACGCACTTTGCCGGCTGTGCAGACGCTGCGGACCATCGGACCTTTCAAGCTAGAAGCAGGCTGTGTGGATTCCATGTGCAATCGGGACTCGTGCAGGTGAGAGCAGCCGATGGAACGAGGCGGCTTCGTTTTCGGCTTTCAGCTTGCATACCCCTGTCGAGCCTGCAGCATGCCGCGAGTACAACAGCAAGGCATAGCATAGCATAGCAGCTAGTGGCATGAAGTAGCAGTAGCACATAGGAACACAGGGCAGTGTGTAAGACGTGCATCAAGCTACATGATATGCTTGTGTACTACGCTGTCCCTCTGCAGGGAGCCTTCATGTCCGTGGACGTTGCCGTTGCACCCCGGGCATGGGACGAGGCCTTCTTGTCATCTTCTGGACACGCAAAGTCCGTTCTTGAGCACTCTTCTGCGCGCCATCGATCTCTGCACTGACTCTGGAGGCACGGATCCGAGTAGAAGTTGCGAGTTTTTTCTACGATGGCAGGCGCCGGCGCCCTACCTCGACAGCCCGACTGGCACAGGCTCCGGGGCGCGAGAGAGTGATTTACATGGAGGGAGGGTCGTGCAATGCGGAGTTTCTTTGCATGAAGGCATTTAGCATGGGAGTGGCGCAAAGTGCTAGCCTGAGCGATGCGTCCCTGCAAGACTGTAGGCCAATGGCCGCTGCTCAGCACGCCCAGTCCCGGGCCGCCCATGCAGGTGAGCGAAAGGGGGGGGGCTTTTGTTGAAGGGAGGAGCTCTGTGCAGCAGTTTCTTGCCAACAGCATGTTTTACGGCCCAGCGAGAGATAGATTTGCGTTGTACAGATGTATGTAGAGAGTCGAAGAGTCGGAGCATTCCGGAGGCACAGGCCATGGCTTGCCCACCGCAGCCAATGGCCTGCCAGGCACCGCCCATTGGCATGGAGGCCAGTGGCTGAAAGAAGCAGAGGCTTTGAGATGTTATCCTGTGAGCGTCTGCTCTCATTCAGAAGCATCTGCTAGTTTAACCCCAACCTCGATATGTGCAGGTCAGACCACTGCAGCCTCTGAGACAAACGAAGCAGCCTCAGGACGCCAGATCCGAGCCAGCAGTGCTAGAGGTGCTAGAGTACATTTGCATTGTCTTGCATGACTTGCACGGTCCAGCAGATACCCGCAGCAACATAAGGACAGAGGCTCGCTTTATCATGCTGAATCTCGGCCCTTGTGCCAAAAAGGAAGGGTCCCTGGTATCATGTAGGCAAAAACGGCCCGTTTCTGCCACACACAGGACGACGCGCAGGCGGTCCTGGCGGCCGCCGGTGCGGGCATGGCAGCTGCTCTGCTGGAGGCCGCAGTTGGTGCCACACTTCGCTGCAAGTGGCTGCGTTGACTTTGCATCACGGCGTGATGCTTCTCTTGCCCTTTGTATCCCTTTGTAAAACGTGTACGTCAACAGTTCAGCAGCAGCGACCTTCAGGACCCAGTTGAGCAGCAGACGCAGCAAGAGGCACATCGGCTGTGCTTTCGCGGGCGGTCTCGCTTGTTTCAGACTTTACACTCCTCCAGCTGCCCGAGCAAGCACACCCGTAGGGGAGTAGCGCTTGTCGCGAGGCAGCAATGCAGAGCTTGCTAATGCCAGGTCAAGGCCCCAGGAATTGTGATTTTATGGGCATGCAACCGTGAGAGTGATCGGCAAGGTCAGTCTCGTGAAACCCCTGTGCTTAGCCGGTGGTGTAAACTCTTAGCCAGAAGAAAGAGCATAAACGGCCGAAACACCCATCGTGCCATCGTGCCTGCCTCTTCGATTTGAGTTCTGTGACGCACAGGAACCAGTAGGTAGGAACAATTGCAGGGGAATGGCACAGTGGCATAGCCAACCTCGAACATCCGCAACGCAATGGCCTAGGTGGCCCAGAGCACGCAGCCATGCTGGCAGGCCATTTTCCAGGGCCGGTTTGAATGCAATGCAAGGCATTATGCGTGTTGGCTGTACAAACTTATTAAGTAGTTACAGATTATTGTGCGTGTGAAACAGCGGGCCCGAGTTAGGTCATTGGTTTTCTTTTACAGGGGTAGTGTTAGTGTTGTTGTTGTTGTTGGTTGTTTGTTTTTTTTTTTTTTTT